ACTTGCCAATATGAATCTGTGAATCAAGAATCTAACAATATGCAGGCCACTTAATTCAATAATTCCATTTCTGTGAACCTCTCCTAATTATCTAAATATTACATATTTAATTATTGTTATTTGCATGAAGAAATTCATTAGTTAAAAAGACTTATGTTAGTAACATGGGGAAATATTTATAAATTAACTATAAGGAACAATTTACAAAAGCACATGTATACCATGATAATACTTATATTAAAATATGCTAGTGAAAAAATAACTAGAAGAAAATATATAATATGGTAAGTGTGTTTATATCAGGGTTGTAAGATTACAGGTGATTTTCTCTCTCTTGTTCCCAACTCTTAACTGAATTTCATGATTTGTACAATGGTATTTTAGTTTGGTTTTGTCCAATAGAGCCTTTTAAAGGTAAACCTCATTGATTGAATCTCTTTTTCTACTGTGATCTAGGCAATAGCTTTAGCAGAGACATAGACTGGTGAGCAAATGCTCTTTTGATGAAGATTTATGGTGAAACCTATGTGTGTATGATTGTTGGTTGGATGGGACTTTTTAAAAGAGAATTTCCTAATAAGAAGCTTCTACTTCATTACATTTGGTTTACTTCAATTCAGGTGAATATTTATAACAGGTTTACAGGTTTCACGGCACATATTCATGTTAGAAGGAAATATTTCTCTTTTTACCTTGTCCTCTCTCTTTTTTCCTGTGTGTTCCCTATAAAGTGATTACATTTTTTTCTATTCTTAAATATAAAATTGAATTCCTCATATAATGTAATTAATTGGTGGTGTCCTTGGTCCTCTGTCACAGCACCCGCATCTAATCAGTTACCACACACTGTCTATACCGTCTCCTCAGGCTTTTGACATCTTCCTGGTATCCCTCCCCAGTCCACTATCTTAGATATATTCTCATCACTTGCAGCCAGTAGGTCTACAATGCTGTGTGATTAATCTCCTTACCCCCCCAGTCCATTTTCCACATTATCCCTTGATTAGTGATTCTCAATGGGGTGATTTTTCCCCAGGAGACATTTGGCAATGTCTGAAGGCATTTTTGTTTGTTGTAACTGGGCCAGGAGTGGGGTTGGGGTTTGGAGGGTGGGTGGCAAAGGAGGGAATTGCTACTGGCACCTAGTAGTTAGAAGACAGAGATGCTACGCTACTAAACGTCCTACAATGCACAGGACAGCACCCCATAACAAAGAATTTTCCAGCCCAAAGTGTCAACAGTGCTGAGGTTGAGAAACCCTGCCGTAGATTGATTCTTCTAAAATAAAAGCCTGCATAAATACCTCAGAAACACACTATTTCTTTTAGGCAAAAGTTTTCACATAAGGCTCATCTTTTTTTTATTCCCCAGCCATGCAACATATACACTCATTACTGCCTGAACATGTCATGTACTCCCTGGCTCCCGTAAGTTGTCTGATGCTAATAGCTTCTTCTTTCCTTCTTGATTGCCTCAGGCTGGGTTGGGTGATTCTCCTGTGTGTTCACTTTGAGAAGAGCATGAATCACACTGAATTATTTCTTATCTGTTCCCCCC